GTCTGCACACCACAGTTTCCCTTGCAATCACTCGTGACTTTCAAGAAAGAACCAGGAAAATGCGCGCCCTGGCCCGCATTCGCAAGCGGGCTCAGCCGCCCGGTCAAAGTGCTCGCTCCCGCGGGTGCGTGGGACTCTGTGTGTGTTCTTCTTAAAGACAGCCCGTGTTGCTGCTGAAGCAAAAGTGAGCCTGCCTTTGAGCCCTCGTAGTGCAGACTCGCTGCTGCACCGCGGGGAAAGTTCACGGTCGTAGAAAGAGCTACCTGGGCGGGGCCCATCTGTTGTGGTTTAGGTGCTGTGGGGTTGGTTCCGACTCACCGCAACCATGGGGTGCATTAAATGTCCTCGGGAACTCGAGCCTGAATCCTTTTTGGAGAGTGACAGCACCGAGAGTGATTTCTAACGGGAGTTGGCAATGGCCGGCAAAGTGACCCAGGTTTGTACAGCCCAAAGAGGTAGCATCTGTGGTTAAAAGCTGGGCCGCGAAGCCAAGATACCTGGGCCCCCAATGCTGACTCTTAGTGTGACAGAAAAGTAATTCTACCTCGTAGGGTGGTTTTGAAGATTGAATGACTTAATTTGGGTTAGCAATAAAGGTTAGCTGCCATTATTATTAGATTTGTATTGAAAGAATCTTCAATCGAGTTAATGGTGGAAGAAAAACAAGTGTAAAGGCCGGTCTTTAGCCAAGAGGGGCTGTGTGCGCTCATGAAAGATGTGCACATCATCAGTTACTATGCGTTGTGCACTCCTGCTACCTTCCTATGAATGCAGGGCTGCCTTCTGCATGTGAAAAGCACAAGGCTATCAAGGATTTCACCTTGAGGTTGAATGAAATGGTAAGGCATTCATACCCCCTCCCCCACAAAAGGAGGCATTTAAAGATATTTATACATGCCATCTTCTCTGCTTTCTATCGTGTTCTTGATTTCCCAAGCAATTCCTCTTCAAAACAAGTGTTCCAGATTCTTCCAGACGGTACAGCTTCACTCTCGCCTTATGACAGTCCTCTGGGTCTACATTAGTAGTTCTCTTTGCCAACCAACGGCAAGCACGAAAAGCTGCTTATTCACGTCTCATATTTTGGTTGGTTTCTTTTGTGTATTTCTCCAGAGTCGCCTATATGGCTCGTTCTCCTTTCACCTTCTCTGCCTTTCTGTGATAGTTCAATCCCAGACTCCTCTAGAGGGAGCGCTCCATTTTCCTCAGTGCCTCAGTGAGGCAGTTTGGATTGCTTGTTCTCCATATAATTTGATAAAATAAGGGAGGAAAGAAGGAATCTCACTGACTTGAGAAGCAACCTGTTGGAATCTTGGCTTCCTAAGATTTGCCAGAATAGGAATGTTTCCCCTCACCCCTTCAGAAGAAAGCATCATTTTGCAAATTATCTTGGTCATTCTGATCTATATTTGTTAGCCAACAGTTGGTTAAATATGCCAGTTGATTATAAATAGGTTTCTCTCAACTACTTCCAACCGGTCTTCTTTCCTCTGAATACATATTATTTGAGAGGCTACCTTAGGACACAGTTCTCTCGTGTGTGTGCAGTCATGCCGGCGTTTTCTCATGTGAGCCTCCAGCCAGACTCTACATGGAAGAGAAGCAATGCAGTAGTTTCCTACCAACTGAGAACAACTTAGGCACACAAGAGCAAAACTTCCTCTAGTCTTTTCTGGAGAGTGCACAAGCCCTCGAGCAGTGGTTCTCAACCTTCCTAATGCCGCGACCCTTTCATCCAGTTCCTCATGTGGTGGTGACCCCCAACCATAGCATTGTTTTTGTTGCTACTTCATAACTGTAATTTTGCTACTGTGATGAATCAGGCCACCCCTGTAAAGGGGTCATTCGATCCCCAAAGGGGTCGCGACCCACAGGTTGAGAACTGCTGCCCTAGCGCTATCCTGCTTCAAGTCTGAGCTGAGAGGTACCAAGGGCACCCTCAATCTCACCAGCACAGTGGTGCAAGCAGCATTCACCCATGGGTAAATTCAACGGGACACCAAACTAAACTCACTGCCATGGAATCCATTCCAACTCCGCAACCCCATAGGACAGTATCATTGTCCTTTTGGTTTCTGAGACTGTAAGTCTTTACCGGAGTGGAAAGCCTCAACTTCCTTCCACAGGGCAGCTCATGGTTTCAAACTACTGACCTTGCAATTAGCAGCTCAAAGGACTGTGCCACCAGAACTCCTTGAGGTTAATTCAAGGTAGCTTTTCCATGTATTACCCAATGAGAGAAGAAACACTTGAAAACGAGTCTGTTCCTTGGTGAAGCAGGTTTAGCGTTGGGCGGAACACAGATTTTCGTCTTCGCTGAATGAGAGGTGGCATTGTTTCCATGCGTTCTCTTCCAGACAGGACTGGGGCATCCAGGTGCAGCGAGGAACTCAGGAGTAAGAGGTCGGATCAGGAAATGACACAGGGAAGAGTTTTGGAAAACCTGCCACCACCATGCTTCCTGCCCCGCAGCAGGTTTATGACCTGTACAGAGAAAAGTATAACTAGTTCTCAGCCTTGTTTTCCCCTTAACTTTTTAGGGTAACTTCGGTCAAGGTTTTCAGGACAGATCATGTGTTTTGAGTTCACTAATTTATACACAGTTTGTTTCAACTCATCCATAGCAGTTCTCTCTGTGTGCTGTCCTTCCCTCCCTGTGTTTCCTGTACCCATTCCTCCTCCTCTCCCTTCCTCACCCTCTGTCCGTGGGGAACTACTTTTTGGTCATAAATGGTTGATTATTCTAACACTAGCGTAAGTTCAGTTCCAGACTTGAAGGGTGACTAAGGCCTATAATCCTGGGGGTCCCTTCAGTCTCTGTCCACCAAGTAAAGTGGTCTCTGTTCTGTGCCACATCTTTCTCCTATTCTCTCCAGGATCTTCTCATGTGATCCTTTCCCAAGCAGTTGGCAGTGATAACCAGACACCATCTAGGTTTCTGGTTTCTGAATCACAGAGGTTGAGGTTTATATGGTCCATTAGCCCATTAATCCACGTGTCTCAATTCTCATCACTCTTCTTAATTGCACCTTAGATGACTGCTCACAAGCTTTTAAAACCCCAGTGGTTACTCACTAAAGTAGGTCCTAGGACACTGTGTTTGTGAACCACGTTATGCCAACTGAGCCTCGTGTTCACCAACATGAAGGTCCTGATGCCCCATGCTCAGCCACTCATTCCCTCAAGGTGTCTGGTTGATTTTCTTCATAACAAACCTTTCATAACTTTGCCCCCTGCGTGTTCCACCACATTCACATGTGCTCTGTTCTCACCGTTTTTGTACAGCTTCTTCTCCTAGTTGGTCTTCGATCTACTTCTCTCCCCTATCCTCTGATGCTCAGGCTTCCAGGATTATCATCTGTGTCTCATTAGGTCTCTCAAGTCTTTGATGTAGAATCTGTGTACCATGTTTGCCTGGTTCACCGTCTCACCAGAAGTCAGTTATCAGCTCTTTATATATCCTCTTATTATATACAAATTTGGCCTGGAAGACCAGCACAGTGGTGCAAGCAGCATTCACCCATGGGTAAATTCAACGGGACACCAAACTAAACTCACTGCCATGGATTCCATTCCAACTCCGCAACCCCATAGGACAGTATCATTGTCCTTTCGCTTTCTGAGACTGTAAGTCTTTACCGGAGTGGAAAGCCTCAACTTCCTCCCACAGGGCAGCTCATGGTTTCAAACTACTAACCCTGCAATTAGCTGCCCAAAGGACTATGCCACCAGAACTCCTTGAGGTTAACTCTAGGCAGCTTTCCTAAAACTCTGCAGTCTATAAAACAGCAAAAATCACATGACCATGTTCAACAAAGCACACTCACTAAAACAAAAAAATCACCAAAGTATCCTACAGTAGAGAGTAGTCAAGACAAACTGAAGCCCAGCCAGCAGGTGGGTAAATCTTAACCGTGCTTAAAACAGAGGAAGTTGCTTGCGCTTGAAAATCAGGATACGACCGCAGATACAATATGTTCACAAGTATGTGCAACAAACAAACACAAAATGCAGAGCCTAAAAAGACAGGAAGGAAATCCACCCAGGTGTTCACAGCAACATCTCTCCACGGTGATACAATGGGTACCCTTTTGCCCTTTGACATTTGAGCTTCTCCAGATATTCCATATTTAACCGTGTTAAAGGGAAACAAACTTAATTTTGAAATCCATTCTGATGCAAGTTCTGGAGCATAGCATTTATGTTGCAGGTTTTCCACACTAAAGTAAAAGTTGCAGCATGAATGATTTAATCCAGGATTTGATCCTAAAGTACAGAAGCATTTTGTTTTGGTTTTGAAATCGTATACCTATTTAAAGATGAAGGAAAGATTACGGTAAATTCATGTATGTACCTCCTGTTTGTGTAGCCCAACAGAACATCTTGCTTTGTCCTTAAGAAAAATCAAAACCCCTTTTTCGTTGTAAATTAGGGGAAGGCTTACAGAGCAGGTCATCGTGTTTTTGCATTCAGCAATGCATCCACTTTCCGATGTGTGTGAATTCTCCTCCATGGCAATCCCCTCAATGGACCACCGCTCAACCCACTTCCTCCCTGGCCTTCCTGTTTCCCTTCCT